CCCGAAACTCTAAACCCTGAACCCAGCGCCTTAAACTGTGCAAAGGCACCTCTTGCGGCATTGGACTCCACGGTCTGCTGGCCAGACAAGCAGCCGGACGGTGCACCTGGGTCTGGCTGCGGGTGTAGGGTTTAGGGCTCATGGTCCAGTGCTTGGGGTGTAGGATTTTGAGTTCAGGTTTCAAAGTTTAGGGTGTTGGGTCTATAGTTTGAGCTTTATGGTTTGGAATTCAGGTATACAGGAGCAATCCCTAAACCCTAAGTTTTAAACCGCGTGATAGTCATAGGATCCTCATTCTAGGGGTCGGCATTACCAACTTAAATCCTAAACCCTAAATCCTTAACCCTACCCTAAACCCTAGAGTTCAGGGTCAGCGTTCAGGGTCAGAGTTTAGGGTTTAAAGTTGGGGTTTAGGTTTTGGGGTTCAGAGCTTTGGGGTCTACATATAGCCGAGCTAAGGTTTCAGATTCAAGGTTTGAATAGTGCGGGTTCATACTTCAGAGCTTTATGTGCAAAAACTGAAGCTCAGAGTTTAAAGTGGAAAGATTGGAGTTTGCAACCCTAAACCCTAAACTCCTAAACCCTAATCCTTTCTGGGGAGGAGGACGCTGCGGGAACCATTTCTTGGAGTGTTTGGCAGCAACTGAAGTTTATGGGGCATGAGTTGAAGTTTTCAGGATTCTGACTTAAAACCCTAAACCCTAAACCCTAGAAACCCTAAAGTTGAATGTAAGATTTGGAGCTAAGGGATTACGTTTAGGGTTGGGAGTTTTGAGAGCCTAGAGTTGAGGGCATTCCTCAAATTGAAATTGTTGGGTTTAGGGTTGCGGGCTGGGGTTCCTTGATGAGGAGAACTTGAAAGTCTAGGGTTCAGGGTTTAGTAGGGGATGTCTCTGTGTTTGTTTTGCGGGATGCTCAGCTTGGTGACAGGCCCCAATCCTGGGGATCTTGGATTCCTATACATCATACCTGCATACTGGTAAGGGCTCTCATAACCCACTCAACCAGAGGACTCAACAAGATTTAACTAAGTTGCATGAGGCTGTTCAAAATACAGATCCCAAAAATGACCATGAGGTAGGTTCCCTTGTTGCTTAGGAACTCCCTTTCGGGAAGCGTGTTCCAAATCGTCCTTGCCTTGAAAGCCCTTCAGAAGCCCTCCAAATACGATCCTCTCCTACAGCTACCCAGTCCGCAAACCTGAAACCACGCGGTTTGGGTTTAGGGTTTAGGGTTTAGGGTTTATGGGTTTAGGGTTTAGGGTTTATGGGTTTAGGGTTTAGGGTTTATGGGTTTATGGGTTTAGGGTTTAGGGGTTTAGCTTATTGGGTTTTGAAAGCTGCTCCTCCCAGACTCATTAAGCTCGAACTGCCATGCTAGGTACTGAGCCAACAAGCCCCCCGCTGCCAAGTAGAGACCCAAGACAGCCAAAGCTGGGTTGCTGTTAAGGAACTTAAATTAAGTTACTATATTGGGGAAACCCTCTTATCTACTATATATACCCATTATGGTAACTTAATTCAAGTTCCTTAACAGCAACCCAGAAAGGTAGACCTCAGCGTTCTCCAAACGAAGATCCGCTCCGGTGGCATGCTACTTTGCTAACTTGGTGTCTAGGTTTATGCGTGCAAGTACCATCAATATGCCGGTGTTATATAGCAGCTATACAGGGAAAATGGGGTCTGAAACTTTGAGAAGGTTTTTGGGTATGGCGCTCTCAGGGCTTGCGAGGCTGCACGAGTAAGAGGTCTAGGATGTCGAGCTAGGGAACTGCACGGCTTAGCTGTTCGGGCTCGCAGTTTAGGGATTAGGCAGGGTTTAGAGTACTGATGTCGGTGAGAAAGAGAGTTCAAAAGCTGTAAGTGGTTTTTGTAGGCGGTAACCTCAAGCCCAAACGTCTCGGGGGAATGTAGGGTAATCAATAGTAAGGCTCCAAGTGCCCGTTTAGGGTTTTGAGTTTAGACTTTTAGACGCCAGAAATGATAGTTTTCATAACTCGGGGGCCCCAACATAGATCCCCAAATGCTCTAGCCTTTAAAGTAAAGGGGCCCCCGCAAGGGTGCCGGGGCGGTAAACAGGGGACTTCGCAAGTGGGCTACAAATGAGGCTAACGTTCAGGGGTCAGGGTTTAGGGATTGCCGTATAGTTTAGAGAGCAGACTGCCTCTATTAGGGCCTGATAATTCAAGTTAACCCGAAGCCCTACGCCCCAACGTCCAAAACTCTAAGCCCTACGTGCATTCTTAGGGTCCAGGGTTGAGGGATTCATCACTTCAGACCCAATTGCCCCCGGGGCCTGAGCCAGAAGGCTCATCTCAATGTGGGGGCCCGATAACCCCGTTTTCAGCCCCAAGGTTGCATGCGAGTTTCTCACAGTATTCCTTACATAGCCCTCAAGGGAGGGATCTTCATAAATTGCTTCATGATTACTAGATCTTTATGGGAACCCACGAACGTCCATGTCTCACAAATACTTCCCAAGCCTCTCGCTGGGCATAGATTCTTGTAATATGGATCCTCTTGCTGATATGGAATTGCAATCCTCAACCCTAAGCCGGAAACTTCATAAAGGCCAAAGGACGAACTCAGCGCCCGGAAACGCCCCTGAAGCCAGGCTACTTTTCAGCCGGACACTGCGTTTGACTAAGCGTTTTGGAAACTGGGTACTGATCAGAACTGCTGTTTAAGGGCTTACTGCTGTGCAATTCACATTTAACAACGTTGTAGTACTTATTACAGAGGTCTTCTAGTCCCACGTATAGCGTAAGATTTTCCCTCATGGTCGTGGAATGCAAGGCCGCAAGCAGACCAATCAGCAACACTCAAACATATGATCTGGACGTGTAACAGAGAATTTAAACGATCATGATTTCAAGAAAATAGCTATTGCATTTAGCAGGTACTTTTGAGTAATCCAACAGCTTGTTCTTCAGGGTCTGAACTCAGATGGGTAGTGTTGTATTTGGGGTTTGTATGGTCCACAATACAGAGTAAGATTGTATCCTCTTGTTTTGGTTACAGTAGTTTATATAAGGCATCTGATCTTACTAGGTTCAACCACCAGGTTCAACCACCAACAAAACACTGCTCACATGTCCTTGGGGGCTTGGAGACTGCAAAGGGAACAACCGTACGCTTGGCCCCCAAAGCCCAAAGGCTCCATGTAGCTGTATGAGCGAAAGGCTCAAAATCCTCAAGGGGGTGATATACTGGATTGTCTGGATTGTATAGGGGAGCATTATTGGGCTTACTAAGCGGGATCCGAGGAGTTCAGATTATAGCTCACATAGTATATACTTAGGGCCCAGGGGTTCCCATATGACTACTCTAGGGCCCAAGCTATATATCATATACCCACCCTACACCCTAGACCCCGAACCCTTACCCTAAATCCTATACCATGTAGCTACAGGGAGCCTTTGGGAAAGTGTCTACTTTGCATCCACTTTTCAAAGTATGGTGACCCTGAGAGCTCAGGCCTCACTACAATACTTGGAGGGTGTTTGGCTTTGGGGTTAAGGGTTAAGTGTTTAGGGTGTTAGGCATTGCGGTTTAGGGTTTGTGTTAAGGGTTTAGGGTGCTAGGTTTTGGGGTCTAGGCTTTAGGGTTTAGGATTTAGGGTTTAGGGTAAGTTTACTACAGGGGTGCCTACTTGGAGGGCCAGGGGGCCTTGTACAATAAGTAGGTCCATTATGGGGATCAGTAGGGTTACTATATGGGTTATAGGGGTGATTAGCCCACTTACTGAGTCCCCCTGACCCTCCAAGTACGAAGGGTGCTAGGCTTTGGGGTTTGGGGGAAAGAGATACTTGGGAAGTAAGGCGACAAGAC